CAACTCATGGTAAAATAATAACCAGGGGTAGGGAGATAGCTCAATCAGTAATGTGACTGCCTTGTATATATAAGGACCTGAGTTAGTATGATGTCCATATCTTTATTCCCAGTGCTGAGGAGGTAGAGACAAGTAGATCCCTGGGATGCACTGACCAGATAGTCTAATATATTTGGCAAGTTACAGGCCAATGAAAGATCCTTTCTCAAAAAACAAAGATGGACAGCATCAGAGGAATGACACTTGAGGTCCTCTGGCCTACATGCGCGCGCACACACACACACACCCACACACACACACACACACACACACACACACACACAGCTGCTTCTGTACAAGCACATACATACAAAAGAAAAAAAAAAACATGCCTCCTAAAATCCACAAAAACATCAGTCAAGGGAAAAGACACAATTTTCTTGGTATCTATGTAAAGAAACTGTCCAAAGAAAGAGGAGGAGGGAGGCAGGGAGGAAGGGAGGAAGGGAGGGTTTTAAGAGAGCTTTGGCACTTTTATGTGATGCCATGAAAGAAGAACAGGCAAGAAAATGAACAGCAGATTCTATTCTGAAAGCAGAATAAAAGGGGATATGGTCTGAAATCACAAAACTAGGACAGCTGAAAGGCTCAGAAAAACAGTGTATGAAAGCAGTCCACCCAATCACAAAAAGACAAACATGATATATACTCACTCATATGTGGATTTTAGACTAGAGTAAAGGATTACCAGTCTACAATCCACACTGCCAGAGAAGCTAGTAAACAAGGAGGACCCTAAGAGAGACATATATATGGTCCCCTGAAGAAAAGGAAAGGGCCAAGATCCCCTGAGCAAATTGAGAGTGCAGGAAGAGGGGGGAGGGAGCTAGGAGAATGAGAAGGGAAGAAGAGGAAGGATGCAGAGGTCATGAGGGAGCAGAAAGGTTGAGTCAGGAGAAGAATAGAAGAAAGGGTATGTGATTGTTTCAGTTGGGGGGTGGTAGGGGAGGATGGAAGGCAGAAGGAAACTGGGATTGTCATATAAAACAATCTTGTTTCTAATTCAAATAAAAAATGATTAAAAAATAAAAAAGAAAGCAGTCCACCCAGCTTCCTGGCAGGGGAGAGGAACCTGGAGTCTCAGACATATTAAGCTCTGATCAAACAGGGATGGTAGTCACAGCCACACAACAAGGCTACAGTTCTTCCTCAGGAGCCTTAAATTCACGTGGAGGATTTAGTGTGACAGTTATTCCTCCTGAAAGATAGATCTGCCATACTCCATACTTTGAAAGGCTATAGTCAGGTGTCATCATGAGTGGAGGCCTACCATTTGCGACTGACATGCCACGCTGAGAAGTTCAAGCAGGACAAGACTCAGACTGGAAAAAAACATAGTGGTGGGTGGGCCCACCCCACCCTTT